CGGAAGTTGTAGAGGAATAATTAGTTTTTTTTTCTGCTTTTCAATGTACAAGCTTTTATTTACTTACTTTATTTTTATTCCATGTTAATTATGTTCTTTTGTCATATAGTTTTGTTCTTCTTAGTCACAGATATTGGTGTTTTTGTCAAAGCTCAAGTGCGAGGTGTTCTCTAACCCTACTAATCTTTTTACTGTCCGTCATTGAATATTAAATTTTTTTTGTTTCATGGAGGACAATGCATGAATCAAGTTGGGGGGTGAGATTGCACTATTTGCATCTTACACCAATGTTTGTGGGAATATTCTGCGCGGATATTCGCGTCTGCCGACACTAGCGCTTGCTGCCACTACAAAAAAAAGGGAATATTCCAGACGGATATGCTGCTGCGGACACTAAAAAAAAAAAATGGGATGCCTTTATAAGCTTTTCAAATTTTTTTTTCTCCCATCCACCGGTGATTGGTCTCCCCTTCTTCTTCCCTTATTTTTTCTTCTTTCTTCCTCTTTTCTTCTTCTTCTTCTTTTCTTCTTCTTCTTCTTCTTCGTCGTTCTTTTTGTTCTCTATGAAAACAACCCACCCTCTGCAAATCCATTACCATATACGCCAACGACCCAGTCCTTTGTTTAATAATTTTTCTTAAATGTTTGTATTTGTTAATGGGTGCTCTTTTTCTGCTCACACTTAGGGTGAGGGGTTTCCAGCCTAAGCCAAATCTCTCTCGAGTTGGTTAGTTGTTGTGTTTTGTTTATTGGTTTCGGCAGTTAAACAGATCTTTACACCCACCGCCTTTCCCTATTTCTTCGTCTTCTTCTTCTTCTTATTTCTGTTGTGCTATTCTCTATAACACGACCCAACTCCCAACAATCCCATGACCATATTACCCGAACACCCAGTCATTTGTCGTATGCTCGGCATTTGTTTACTCTATTTGTACATGGCTCTTCTTCTTTTGTCTGCATTTAAAATCAAGGGTTTTCATCATAGCGAAAACCCAGATCTGCGTATAGAAGATTAATTTGTGTACGTTTCAACAATTGAACAGATCTCTACCCTACAACTTGATCTTCAAACTCTACACAATGGTAAATTCAGAACATTGGGGACAATGTTCGGTTTAGGTTGGGGGGTGTGATCTACGATTCTAGTTTGTTATAGTTTCGTATTTTTTTTAAAAAAAGATTGTTCTGGATTGCGTATTTTTACAGCATTTTTGCTTATATTTCATAATCACATCAAATGCAACTTCAATCGTTTTTGTAACTGGCAGACGTTAAAGAACTAGATAGTGAGTCTTAAAGCATAGAAAACATGAATGTTTAATTTTTTGGTTTTGTTTGGGAGTCTTGCGCACATTTTCATCTGATGTGCATGCTATGATCATGAGAAAAGCAAGAGTAGTCAGAAAATTTGAAATCCGAGAAGCACAAGCAAAACCATTGTGTGGCATAAGTACTTTTGCTAAACGTCGTCGTGTCAAACGGTTGGGTGCTTGTAAATAATGTGGCAGGTGTTTTCACATGAAAAAATACAATCAGTGTTCTGAACCAATTTCGGGTCGTGCAACTGATCGATTAAACTAGATAGTATATGGGCAGAGTAAGAATTTTCCTGACACGCCATCTTATACTAGTCGGGGACTTACACGTTATGTGCGACAAGAAGTGGGAAGGGTCACTAATAATGACATAGACACAAGCGATGACTCAGATTAAATTTTGACTAATAATGACAAAGCTGTGAAAAAATGTGTTTTGGGGATGAAGGTTAATGGTCCGAATTTTTTTTTGTGTAAATATTTGTTTATGTACAAAATCTTTTTGTTGAAATAAAGATGTGGGCCGAGTAAGGATTGTCCTAAAATGCCAACCTGTAGCATAGGTAGGGACTTATCCTGAGACGCCATAGTTTTCCAAGTTCAAAGTGTGCATTTAGTTTTTTTTCAATTTTCATAGATAAATGTGTATGTAAATAACTTTGATTTTTATTCGACTGAAAAAAAAAAAAAGCCGCATTTCCTTGAAAAATTGTATTTTATCTACGCTTAAATGTCAAATGTACATTGGTATTTGTTAATCTTAAGGTACAGAATGACCAGACTCGAAAATAGAATTATAATATAACTCACATTCTTTAGAAACCTGACATAACCAGTGGAGATAACAAAGAATACCATAGTAAGTTTTAAGCCTTACGATACTTTCTGAGAGACAATCAACATTTACTCAAGTAAACTATTTCACTTTCAACTGTTGAATAATCTCATTAAACTTGCTTTGATTAAATGCAACTAAAGTAATATATTGACATATCCCATAGGGAACCTTTGCATGCGACACATACATAGGCACATACTTGAGAAAGGATTTTAGGCCATCTTTTAGTTGATTTTGAGCCTTAGCCATTGCTTATACGAAATTATATCCCTAGTTAACCATGTTTAATCCTTCAATGAATGAGGATTTGTTTTCGAAAAAAAACCCATATGATAACCGAGCCACAAAAAAATACACTTAACATACCTTACTATCCATTTTTTGCACCCTCTTATAAATAGGTATGACATAGAAAGGCAAGAAAAATAGAAAAGAAGAATGGTGACTACTGTTCAATGAAAAATTAGTGAAAGCAAAAAATAGGGAATTGGCAAGAAAGTGAAAGATGAGAAAAAATGAAAGAAATAAATACCATTTCTAGGCAAAAGATCGAAAATCAAGAAAGAGGTGTGCTACACTACATTAAATACCATTGACGTCATTTCATTAGCCACTGACCTCTGGCCACATTACAACCTATACAAAGTCCTAATTTATCTCAAGTCTGATGCATGTGTGTGTTGTTGACTGAAAACTGGGGTATGTTAAATAGTATTTCTTTAATTGCATTGATATTCTTCCATGAGATTATGCCAAGAACATGATTAGTCTACTTTCTTAAGACTTTCACTCCCTTTCTAACTGTGCATGTGATTCTTCGATTGACCATCCTCTGATCACATGCCCTTTGAAAGACAAGTCACTATAATCGGAGTGAATTTTTTGCTAAGAGCATTCTAAGAGAGGTTTGAGACATCAAAGCTATCCATGGAAGGTGATAAAGTGGAATATTTTGTTATATAACAATTCTTGCAACTAGAATGATAATTTCTACTACACAGGGAATTCCAAATAACTATGTAACAAGTGTTTATTTTTGTATAGAGTACGTACCAATGACAAAGAAGTGTTCGGGAAACAATTCAAAATTAAGGGATGTGTGTCTCAACGATTCTGTTGCTAACTCATTATGATATTACATATACACATCTTTTAATTGGAGTTTGTAGGTAGCTTCACTGAAAACCTTCACGAGACAAAACTCGTCCACTAGGGATCACCTAGGGGTTTAACGGCTTGTTGCTATGCTAAATGCAATCGTGTTATCTACGAAAGTGATTTTATTTTGTTATGTTGTTATTTATTACTAGAGACTAGTAATATTTAGATTGGGGGGTGTGATTAACCCTAATTTAGGCATAATTTAATAGATAAATTGTGTTAGTTGAATAAAGTAAACTAGTCAAAATAAATCAAATTAGAGTTAGTGTGTGAATAAAGGATAATGCATTAATTGTTATTCTTTTCAGGGTTTTATACGTCAAAGCTACAAACTATTCGAGAGCCAATTGCATTAAAGTTACAAACTACTGGGGTGCCAATTATCAAAGCTCAAAACAAAGGGGGATCAAAGTATTCAAGGCCACCTAACAAGACTTTCATGCCACCAAACAAGACTTTTCAAGGCCACCTAACAAGACTTACACCCTCCCTTGTTGCCTATAAATACCACCCATTAAGACTTGTAAAGCATTCATCTTTTCGTAGTGGAAAACTCTCCAAAAGTATTATGACTTTCCTTATTGCTTATTGCTTTCTTTAAGTATTGTTTTCTTTTATTGTATTATTGCTTTCTTTTAATTTATTGCTTTCTTTTACTTTAAATATTGCTTTCTTTTATTGTGTTATTGCTTTCTTTTATTTTAATTGCTTGAGCTTCCTTCTTCCCTTTGAGGAGTGAAACTCTTCTACTTTTCTAGAGCTTTACCAAAGTCGTGAAGGATGGAACGTGATTCACTCATTCTTTATCGAAGACCGGCTCCTTGTGTAAAGTGTTTTATCTTGTAACTCCTCTACTTGGAGGGATGAGCATCACTCACTTTTCTAGCTTTAACAAAGCCATGAATAGTGAGTAGTTTCTCATTTAATCTTTAGTAAGAGGTGATTATCCGGAAGTTATATTTATGCATTTCGTTTATGGTTAGCTCTAGTCTTTATTTCTTCATAATGTCTTCTCATCATATTGTTGTCTTTATTTTAAGCATGAATAGCTAAATCTCTTAGTTGGCAAAACCAAGAGGAACCTCCACTTGGGTATACCATTTCAACTCATTCTCCTCCCCTCTTTCTGAGTTTAATGGTTCGGTTTGACTGGGTTCAGGGTGGATAACTTGGTGAGTCTTTGATATTCCGTAGGCCTAGTCACAGTTTATGATTAGATACTCACCAATCTTACCCCTAGCTTCCCACGAATCAATCGTTCATTCATGCTCTATTGGAGGAGGGTTTCGAGTTGAGACGGTATTCCTATTGGAGTGACCTCTTGGATTTGCCAACATTTGTTTCTCATTTTACTAGCATCAAAACAACTTCACCAAACAACTTCTAACAATCAAAGATTTTACACTTTCTTCCTCCCAAAATCACCTTCCCCTCGGTTTACTTCATTCCCCGTGGAAACGACCTTGGAATACTACCAAGTAAAACACGATCCGCAAAAGTCTCCTTATGCTTGGGGAGCACTTTTTAAATCTCATTTATCCACCATTTTGTTGCCCTTTCTTTTGACATCATCCATAGGAGAGTGACACTCCCCTTCATTCATATAGTGTACATGCTAAAAGGTGATGTTTATAGGTTAGGAAACAACAATGAATTTTGTCAAGTAGTCACCACAAACATTTTACCCCGAACATTCATTTTCAACACTTCCACCTCATTCACGTCCGCCACCCTAAGAGTTTGATAGAACTCTCTACACATTGACAAGTTCAAACCATTAACTGGTTCAAACCAGAATTTCATACCATGTGCCTCAATGATTTGAACAACTTCGTTCCTTGGAGTAAGGGAAATGTGATCAAGGTGCCTTTCACATGTCACATTTTTCTCATGGATCAATTTCATTCGTGCCTCAAGCTTTGCCTTCTTCCTTTGCTCACTTTGGTTCTCGCTTGCCCTTTCGGGTTGAGGGTTGTCGGATCTGGGCCTCTTAGTTCGGGCCATGCACATCAACAGTGTGCCCATTATCAAAAAAGCGAAAAGAGTCAAGAGGAGACCTTCAATCAAGTCCATAGCATCTTGGGGAAACATTACAGGACGAGCCATGTGAGAGATTTTAGGAGAATTGACAATTGAAGGGAAATGAAGGCTTGAGATATTTTCGGCACCTAGGGTTTCCAAGATTTGATTTTCCTAAATCACAGCACAAGGGAGAGTATTTGAAGGGTTGAAGGAATATGAAGGGGATTTAGAAATCTAAGGGAGAATTCGGGTGAGAGAATAGTAAAAAAAGGGTGTGCAGCTTAAGAGGGAAGGGATACGGATTCCCGAAAGAAATCAATTGAAAACCCTAACTTTTGAAATTCCAGGTAAAGTGTATTGGTACGTCGCACTCTAGAGGTCTTAGTGTACCGGTACGCGTATCGATACAATTTGGCTTAGTTGTAAAAAATTTTTGTTAGGCAACCCTTTCCACTTCTTTTTCATTTTAAGACCTCCCCTATACATCCTAACAGTCTCTTTGTGACCTCTACTCCACCCTAAACATGTACTCCACTTGTAAGCCACAATTTGAGCCATCATGCCCAATTAATTATAAAAATTGCAATGTGATTTAAAATTTTGATGCATTCAATGTGCAAGGAATGGATTTCTAACTTTAACTATCAAAATGAACACCCAAAATGCAAATCACATAATTAATAACATAGGCATTCCTAATTCATCCCAAATATCAAAAACTTGAGCAATATTCCCCTATTCTGCAGGTATGTAACTATTTAACACATTTCTCAGATGAGTGAACTAAGCACACATTAGTAAAATTATAGTCTCAAATACTAGTCTAAAGTATGCACCTACAAATTCATTTTTAACTTGTGTGTGTGTGAATTAAACAAGTAATTTGAGCACTTTCACAACAGAATTCACATTTGAATAGCTAAGCCAAATTCAACTTCAATGCAAAACTCACCAAGAGTCACTCTTAAACAAAGAAATACACTCGAGTTATCCTAGTATGCACTCCATGTGTACATGTGAGATAGAATCTTGTGTTCAAAACGAAGTGTACTCACATGCAATCCAAAAATGAAGTTCATATATGAAAAAGAAAACAACCTTGGCATAATCTCATGAAATGAATGCTAGGGCATTAGACAGCTAAACCAACTTCTCTTGTTCGTTAAAAGTATGCTTCCCCCATGCTTTCTTTAGATCATTTAGGACTTTCAAGGGTTGTAATGAGGCCCTGGGGTGGTAATGAGGTAAGTGAAATGAAGGATATAGGATGACAAAGAAGGTTGTTCCGAGTGAATGACCTTTATTTCAAAAAAAAAATATCCCTTTTATGGGATTTATAGGCTAACACCATCACCACACTCTTTGTTTCTTTTCTTTATTTTCCTTGACTTTTTTGTTTTCTTTTGTTCATTCTTTTTCTTCTTCTCACCCATTTTCTTCCTTTTCTTTGATTTTCATTCTTTTCCATTGAACTCTTTGAGTTGCAACATCATTCATCCCTTTGTTTGAGTTTCCACACCACCCTTCATTTACTTTTTCCAATCACTCATATTTAGCTTCAAGGAACAACCAAGGTAAGGTAGATATTTCTTATTTTCATTGGCTTGGTCAAATGTGTGGCATAGAAACGAATTTAAATTATGCTCAATCATGACACTAGGGATAATCTTTGCACACGAAAAAGGGTTAAGGCTCAAAGTATTTCAAAGATGGCCTAAAATCACTTATAGGTGTGCATGGGATGGCATTGTATAATCAAAACAAGTCAGTCTACTATCCAGATGCACCTAACAAAAACAAGTATGATGAGACTATTGAACAAATTTGATATTGAAAATTTGTTATTTGAGTAAATGTAAGTTACCTCCAAACAAGGATTGGCATTAAAGCTCACATGAGTTCTTACTCATCTCCACTACTTATGTCAAGCCTAAAACATGAATCCAATCCGTAAATTGCTGAAATTACACATTCAAAGGTCACATACAGTTGAGTTCAAAAATCAATACATATGTGATACTCATGCATATGGTCAGTTTCCATGGTATTCTCATGTGGTCTAAGTTTACAACAAAGATGAATATGTCATCCAATCCACACATTATTCATAAGGGAATGCAGATTAACTTTTAGATATTTTCCATAAAAAATTTTCAAAATTTTCACATATTTTTCACTAATGCAACAAATGCAAACAAAAATCTATATCACAAAATTTTTTTCCAACAACATTGGTGTATCATGCAAATGGTGCACCTCATCCCTCAACTTGAATCATATATTGTCCTCAATGCAACAAAAAGATACAATATGCAATGAAATACATGAAAAAGATTAGTAAGGTTAGAGAGCACCTCAAAAATGAGCTTTTAACAAAAGCACCATGATTTGAAATGAAGAAAATCAATACTTTACAACCAAAGAAAGTAAGTGACATAAGATAAAAATAACATAGGGAAACAAAAGCAGCTGTACACTAGAAAGCATAAACAATTGTTACTCCTCCCCCAAGTCCAGATAGACCAGGTCAATCAAATATTCCTCCACTTCTTTCCCAGTAAAATCTTCAAAGAATGGCTTAAGTCATTGGCCATTGACCTAGAATGTTTGGCCATTCTCAGGATTTGTGATTGTAACAACTCCATTGGGGAAGGCCACCTTTACGAGATAGGGCCCATCCCAACGGGATCAAAGTTTGCCTTGGAAAATTGAGAGGTGAGAATTATATAAGAACACTTTTTGCCCTGCCTCAAATGATTTCCTTACGATGGAGTTATCAAGAAAGATTTTGGCCCATTCTTTTGAGATTTTGGAGCTCTCATACGGATCTCGTCGAATCTCTTCTAACTCATTCAGCTCTAACTTCCTATGATCACTAGCCATTCTCAAATTAAAATTTAAAGTCTTAATGGCCTAATAGGCCTTGTGTTCCATTTTGACTGGCAGGTGGCAAGCCTTTCCATAGACAAGCCGATAGGGACACATGCCCAAAACAGTTTTAAATGCAGTATGGTATGCCCATAGGGCATTGGTCAATCTATCGGATCAATCCTTCTTGTTTGGGTTAACCATTTTTTCTAGAATGTTATTGATCTCCCTATTGGCTAGCTCGGCTTGGTCATTTGTTTGTGGGTGATAGGCAGTGGATACTTTGTGAATGATGTCATATTTGAACATTAGAGATGCAAATGGCCTATTACAGAAATGTGATCCACCATCACTTATTATTGCACAAGGCATCCCAAACTTCGAAAAGATGTTCTCCTTGAGAAACTTGACTATGACCCGGTGGTCATTAGTCTTGGTCAGAATAGCCTCCACCTATTTGGACACATAGGCCACTGCTAGGAGGATGTACAAATAATCAAATGACATAGGGAAAGGACCCATGAAGTCGATGCCCCAACAGTCGAATATTTCTATAACAAGTATTGGTGATAGGGGCATCATTTTTCTTTGGGTCACACTACCCAACCATTGGCAACTGTCGCATCCCTTACAAAACGAAACACAATCTTTGATAAGAGAGGGCTAGTAAAAACCTGATTGACGAATTTTGGCCAAAGTTTTTTCACCAAGACATGTCCACTGCAGGCTTGTGAATGACAAAATGCAAGGACATCCCGTTGTTTATTTTCAGGTACGCATCTCCTCATGATTTGGTTGGGGCGGTACTTGAACAAATATGGGTTGTTGAAGTAGAAGTACTTGACATCCGCCATAAATCGTCTTTGATCTTTTGGAATCCATTGCGGTGGTATCTGTCCTATTGCAAGATAGTTACATATATCAATATACCAAGGACATACATAATGAATTGAAAACAAATGCTCGTAAGGGAAAAATTCAAGGATAGGAATGTTCTCATCAGCCTTTTGCACCACAAGCCGGGATAAATGATCGGCCACCACGTTCTCAACTCCTTTCTTGTTCTTGATCATCAAGTTGAATTATTATAGGAGGATTATCCACCTAATGAGTGTCGATTTTGCATCTTGCTTAGATAATAAATACTTCAAAGCAGAGTGAACAGTAAAGACAACAATAGGTGAACCTATGATGTAAGAACGAAATTTATCTAAGGCAAACACTACTGCTACTAACTCTTTCTCGGTGGTAGTGTAATTCATCTAAGCCTCACTAAGTGTTTTGCTAGTATAGTATATCACATATGGTATATTTTCCTCCCTCTGACCGAGCACTATGCCAACTGCATAATCACTCGCGTAGCACATAAGCTCAAAAGATAGATCTCAATTGGATGGTCACATGATCGAAGGTGTGACTAGCATATTTTTTATGTTTTTTAAAGGATGCCTCACAATCATTTGACCACTCAAATGGGACCTCCTTAGAAAGCAGGTTGTTCATGGTTCATGCCAATGCACTGAAAATTCTTTATGAATCGAAGATAAAAACCTGCATGGCCCAAAAATGACCGAATGCCCTTGATGGCTCCTAGTGTGGGGAGGTTGTAAATGGCCTCCATCTTGGATTTATCGACTTCAACACCGCTTTTCAAAACTATATGGCCAAGCACAATTCCTTCTGTCACCATAAAGTGACACTTTTCCCATTCTAGACTAGATTCTTCTCCTCACATCTTGTTAGGACTCTCACCAAGTTTGCCAAACATCCCTTGAATGAATCCCCAAACACCGAAAAGTCATCCATAAAGACCTCCACTATCTTTTCCACCATGTCACTGAAAATCCCATCATACAGCGTTGAAAAGTCCTAGAGCATTGCATAGTTCAAATGGCATGCGACGGTAGGCAAAGGTACCATAGAGGCACGTGAAGGTGGTCTTCTCTTGATCCTCTAATACAATTTCGATCTGATTGTAGTGGGTGTATCCATCTAAAGAGCAGTAGAATATATGCGCCGCTACTCGTTCTAGAACTTGATCGAGGAATGGCAATGGGAAGTGCTATTTTCTTGTGCAAGCATTTAGCTTTCGGTAATCAATGCACACCCTCCATCCGGTGATCACTCTTGTAGGTATAAGCTCATTCTCATCATTCTCAACCACCGTAACTCCAGATTTCTTATGTATTACTTGCATGGGGCTAACCGACTTACTA